GAAGCGCCATGGCAGCTTTACAGATAACCAGACCACTTCTATAATCCAGGGTTTAGCTGACTGTATCATGTTAACATGAGTTCATGAATCTTATTGAGACTTGTTCATCCTCATACTACCCCATCATAGTATTTTGTGAAGCTGCAGTGTAAGGAGTAATGCCAGCCTCATGGAATGAGCTGGTCATTTATGTTTTATGACAATGACTATGGCTTGGTGGTGAGAGATACAGACAATTAATTCCCAATACCAGAAGGATTAAAGCTTAAACTCAAAAAATGAAAATGTATTGCAGCTTACCAGTCCTTAGATTAGGTGCCTGCATTTGTTCAGGCTTTTTCCCCTTTATTTTCACCTGGTGATCCCATGAATTACACAACCCCTATCTTTGGGTGGCTACCCTCACTCCTCCACTGTATCTCTGGAGAAAGCCATGGCTGCTTCACAGGCTGGACTTCAAGCATGTTTGCCTTTGTTAAATTCTATTACCCGGGAAGGGGTGAGGGAATTAGTAGTTTACACATCTCACAAAAAGTGACAAAGACACAGCGGGGTTTATTTACTAAAGCTGGAGAGTCCAAAATCAGACTCCCTTCTGCATAGAAACCAATCAGCTTCCAGGTTTCATTGCCAAAGCTTCATTGAACAAGCTGAGGTTAGAAGCTGATTGGTTTCTATGCAGAAGGGAGTCTGATTTTGGACTCTCCAGCTTTAGTAAATATACCCCAGCATGTCTTTAAGATGAATAGATATTTTCTGCACTTGCTAAAATGTTCTTGGCCTGAAAAACAAAAACAAATGCAGCTACCAACATCTAAGAACTGAAAATCTTCCATGATTAGATTTTTGTTCTTGGGTTATGTTATCCTTGAATCTTAGTTAACCTGCTAAGGTTACTGTTTACACTTGTTACCAATTCAGCCTTTAAAATAGTTGTTTTTACTGAATAAGAAATATATATATATATTGAATCTTCTCTCTCCTGTTTCCATTTTCATTTCCACCTTCAGATCATGTGGTCTGTGAAGAAGAATTTAAGTATGCCATGTTGGCGCTTAACTGTGTATGCCCAGCCACCTCTACGCTGATCACTTTACTGATTCACACCTCTCGGGGACAGTAAGTACAACCTGAAATATGAAGCTGATATATATAATTAAAGAGTTTGCAAAGGTATGTTTTTTAAAATAATAAACATGTTATACTTACCTGCAAAACCATTACACAGAGCAGGCCTGAACCTCCTCTTCTGGGGTACCCCACCAACGCTCTTGGCTCCTTCTCTTTTCCGTGTGCCACCACAGAAAATCACTTTCTATGGGGGCGCACATGCGGGCTCACTCCTGAGCTAGGCTGTGTATTTCCATAGACACGCAGAGGGGCTTGGCCCTACCCCCTGCTCTTTCCTCACAGGATTTGAATGACAGCAGCAGGAGCTAATGGCTCCCTCGGCTAGCTCTCTGTCCTGTGAATTCAGGGAGAGAGGAGAGAGCCGCTACAGACGGTCACAGTGGACAGCTTACCTGCCAACCTCTGCCAGCAGATGATAACTCCATGATTGATGATATGTTCACTTGTCTTTTCAAAATGTGAGTGCATTACTTTATTTACATCCCTATGTTGTTTTGCTATACAGTGTACACTCAGATGGAGGTGCCCTATTTGTGCTTTTCACTTCAAGATAGTGCCCTCCAACAAATGTAATACTTTAGCAATCTTCTCCAGGCCCTCAGCCCAGCAGCTGCTGAGGCCCAGACCACAATTCTCACCTCAGTGAAGCTGCCCTCAGGGGCATCAGTCCCCAAGAAAACTGGAACGCTCCTTGGAGAAGAAAGAACACTCTGGCAAGACTTTCTAAACATTTATCATCTTTCCAGTCACCTTCTGGATGTCTCCTTCCAAGGATTGGCTGGGCATGATAAATATTCACACTGGTCATTTGAATCTCCCTGCCCTATACTCTGGAAACAGACCAAAACAATCCTTCACTCACTACAGTAAAGCCAAAGACTGAACTTTATCCTAGCAGCCTACTAGAGGATGGCACTACATAGCATCTTTTTAAAACAATTCTAATGTGCTATTACGTTTCATTCCTAGGTGAAGAATAATTTCAGGTATGGATATTTTATACATCGTTACATTGGTCCAGCTTGGACCAATGTACGTAACTATGTATATGGCCAAAGCTACTGGAAGCTGGAGATCAATGAAGTAGACACCTCTACTCCAGTGACCTTCACTAGTTTCCAGGTCCTGTGCCAAGTGGCTGCCATGCTGCACTGTGAACACAAAGGGTCAGCCACTTGGCACAGGTGTTGTTCAGAGAATGCTTTAAAGTTTTGAGTGGCCGACCACCTGCGTTTAGAACTCATTAGGGAAGCAGCTCAGCTAGAGGAGATCACTGGCATAGTGGTGTCTACTTCAGTTATTTCCAGCTTCCAGGGGCATCAGACATGTATGGTATATGCATAGTTGTTGTACATTGGTCCAAGTGTCTTCTTTAAGTTGGCCATACACAGAGCGAGTTTCTGAACATTCCTGATTAAATTGCTGACATTTGCTCAGTGGGTGGCCATGTCTGCTGCCTAACTACTCAAGATCCCCTGATTGAAAAATGAAAGGAGTCAGGTGGAAAATTATCATCTGCACAGAGCCTGCATTCAGTCAGACGTGGACGTTATTTAGGTATTTTAATGGCTGGCGGGCAGCCACAGTGGGAGATTCATCCATCCACGCTGTGAAGCATGGATTGAGCCATCTATATGCGTATGGCCAGCTTTACAGTGTTGAGATGAAAGTCTCCTGAGTTCAATTAATAGAAAATAAATAAATAACTTGCATATACAAAATCCTAAACCCACAGTTGATCCAGAGGAAGGCAATGGTCCATTTTGCTCCAACAGGAGATAAAATTAATTCCTTATCCCCTAAAGGCAATCTGAAGTTTCCCAGACCAAGAATCTATGTTGTTATTACTTATAAATATTAATAGCTCATTATATTTTGTGCATTTAGAAATGTATCTAGCATTTTCAAACAACATACTAAGCTAGCTAGAACTAGTTCTTGAATATGTTTATTTAACATCTTCACTACTATGATGAGAACTTTCCACATGCAGAGATTAAACCTCTTTTTCTTTAGACGTAAAGAGTGACCCCTTGTTATTGCAGTGACCTTAATATGAACAACCTTATGCCAAGTTAACTATATACACCATTTATGTATATACACTTGGTAATTAGACCCCCCTTAAATGCTGCTTTAAGAAGGGTCTAATTCAATTCAGTTCAGTCAATCTTTCCACATAGCCTCATAGCCGAGCTCCTCCATGCCTCTTATTAGGTTAGTTGCCCTTCTCTGATCTCTCTCCAGTTCCACCTGCATGCATTATTTTATTTCATCATGTAATTTTGTATCAGAAATGTTCTCTTCTGTTGGTGCTCTGTTTGCGTGTTTGCTGGGAGCCAGTGTACATGAGTGTTTGGCTGCTGACATGTATTGGGGAAGCATTTGTAAAAAATATGGAATGCAGTGTTAAAATTTCATTTTACAGATCAAGGTAGACAGTGGAAAATGTAGCAGAATGAATGACATGCTGAGGATTCACTTTAACCAGTTACCACCCGGCCTATAGCACAAACAACTCGTCCCTCCGGTTGGATGCCATATGGTGTCCTTTCCAGAACGCGCATTGCGCATGCCTGCAGGGCCGCGCAGTGGTAAGATCTGTCACCGGCCGTGTACCACGGACACGGCTGATGACAGATCTGTGTACCGGCCCCGTTACCAGTTCCATCTGACCTGCTGTGACCAATCACAGCAGGTCACATGACAGTTGTATACAATGGATGGCTTCCTTTCATGCCATCCTTTGTATACAAGTGTGTCTAGCTGTGAATGGTCACAGCGATCACATGCACAAGCTGGGCCAATCACAGCCCAGCTGTGTCATGTGATTAGCCATGGCCAAATCACAGCTAATAAAAAAAAAAAAAACCCTGAATGAATTGATTTCATTCAGGTAAGTGCTTGCTTATAGCAAAGTAATTCTTTGCTATAAGCAAATTGTGTAAAAAAAAAAAAAAAAAAAAAAAATACTGATCACTTCCCCAAAGTAGTACAATGTTACTATGGTAAAATTACACTGCTTTGGTCATAGTGAAATATTAAAAAAAGAGAACAAAAATTAAAAATAATAAAAAAAAAATTTAAAACAAATAAAAAAAATATACATTTTTTTTGTACTATCATCATTCAATATCCCTGATCACCGCCATGCCAGTTATATGATGGCGCTGTATTGCACAGGTGACAGTATGTAAAAAAAAAAATAGTGAAAATATTTTTTTTAATTTCTTTTTCCGAAAAATTATGACAAAAAAATTACAACTTCAAGAAACTTGCCATGCCTGTTAAGAAATACGTTGGACTGTCTACTTTGCAAAAAGGGGTCAGTTTCGGGATATCTGTACTGTTCTGACATTCTTGGAGCTCAAGAAATTAGATTGGCTGTCAGTACTTCAGGATTGATCAATATTCAGATCTATGCCATAGTTTGTGAACTCTATAACTTTCCTACAGTCTAAATAATAAATACTAATTTGGGTTATTTTCACCAAAGACATGTAGCAGAATACATCTTGGCCTAAATTTTATGAAGAACAATTATTTATTTGCAAACTTTTATAACAGAAACAAAGAAAAACGTGATTTTTTTTTTCAAAATTTTCTGTCTTTTTTTGTTAATTTAGCAAAAAATAAAAGCCTCAGTGGTGATTATACACCACCAAAAGAAAGCTCTAGTTGTGTGAAGAAAATGATAAAATTTTAGTTTGGGTACAATGTTGAATGACCGCGCAATTGCTATTCGAAGTGTGACAGCGCTGAAACCTGAAAATTGGCCTGGGCAGGAAGGGGGTAAAAATGCCCTGTATGGAAGTGGTTACAACACCACATCAAACTCAAACTAGACTAGCATAACCTGTAGGTCTCTTCACTTTGTGAGCCGAAAAAAAAGGCACCCAAACAGGTACCAATACAACTAAGAGCTAAGTTGCCAGTGGGCTCTTGGAGTGCAAGAGCTAAGCCTAGACCTTTGTAAAAGTTGGTTGGCAATATACTGATAACTGTGCTCAACAGTTAGTGAACTATATACATTCCTGAAATATAGTCTTCTGCCAGCTACGTTGGGGCCTTTTGGAGACGTTGGCGTGCTTAATGAAAGAAATCTGACTTTGGGTATTTCTGCACTCAGTGAAATAATCTTAGGAAAACAATGGGTTTCTTCGAACACTGAAGTGAGGGGGGCCAGCAAAGGGGTTAAGGTTCTGCATCACAGACTCTAGCCAGATAGGACTAGCAGTCCTCACTAGTGGACAATTGTGAAGTAACAGTAAAGGTAAAAGATAAGTCTTCCCAAGGGGGAATTCAACAAAGAGGTTGAATTCTAATGAGTCTGTTGCAGCAGGCTTCTTCCAATGTAGGGGGCCCCTTTTAAAGTGGAGTTGATGCCAGGTGGCTTCCTATGACGATCAGATGAATAATGAACCCTGAGGCAGAACAGTGGTCAGCATCTTGGGTTCAGTCTTGCAAGGCACCAATTTCAAGCAGCTGATCTGGGTTCTATGCTCCGTGTCCCAGGTGGCACGAATGACAAGCTGTTTGGGAATTGGTAGCAGCAACCAGTGGCACACTCTGTCTCAGTCCAGTAATCTGCAGCTACGGGAACAGTTCTCCAGAACTTACAGGTCCTGCCCCCAACACAGTTTACAAATACTAGCTGGCCTCCTAAGTTCCTTCTCTCTCTTCAGTAGGTCTTTCCCTTCTACACTCACTAGTGGTGAACTCCCAACTGCCCCCCCCCCCCCACTCTTTCCCGGGCTTTTCTAGTTCTATGGCTCCTCCTGCCTCGGCATACTGGATCCTCTAGTTTCTTTGACTGCAATGATAATGGCACAGCTCCTAGCCCAAACTACATCTCCCAGCATTCAGTGCTTTAAAAAGGGAACTACATTCAGGCAGTTTTAACAATAATAATGCATTAGAGAAACTACATAGCCCAGTAACAGCAATTCTGGTTACACAGCTGAAGAAGGTTTAGAGTAATTTTGGACTCCTTCTGCTTTTTTTGGGGTTTACACCAATATCCTTCTTGAAACTATTTTTCAGCATAGTCTACAAATACATAAGTGAGAATCTGATTTGTATGGACAACAAACGCCTATCTTCCCTATACTTTTCATTTGATAATGATGCTGGATTTTGTTGTTTCTGTGCCCCTTCATTGTTTTTTACTTTGAACTTTATTATTTATTTCAGGACAGCTGCTATGGACCCTTTCCGCCAGCGCCCTAGTCCCTGGCAAGCTCTGTCCAGGTAGTGTGATTTTTATTCTTCCTCCTTTTACCTCTCTCTTGAAATGGACAATTCTTCAAGGGCCTGTCCACGTTTTACTCACTTCTTTGCCTTGTGTAGATGCCTGAGCTCTTAGATAAGTACACATTTAAAACAAAACTATATGCCACTCTGCTCACTGTCCTCTTTAAAATTCCAGTTATCAATGGCTCGGAATGGCCTGGGACCGAGCAGGTATATTTTGTGTTATTCCTTTAGTCTTCTGCACAGGCACTTCACATGCCATCCCCTGGACAGGCACTAATCTTTTAAACAATTTTGGCTATATTCAATATATTTCAAAATATATTTCAATAATCAGTGATCACATGATTGGGACCTCACACAGAGGTCCCGTACTTCAATAGGTGCTACGGATCGCGGTGCAGCACGCTCCCAGGGAGCGCGCACAGGCGGGGAGCGGGGAGGATGTTTATAAACGGCCACCCACTCCTGCAATGCAAAGTGGTTAAATAACAAATAAATCAGTATGCAGTGACTAGAAAAATACACATAAACGGCGCTATGTCATAACCAGAGGCGGACTGACCATTTGGGAACTTGGGCGCTGCTCGAGGGCCCGGGGTCAGTAGGGGGCCCAAAGAGATGCCCCTGATACCTTTCATAGGCTTTTTTGGGTGTGGTTTGAGTGTGAGCGAGGATACAGGGGCCCCACGATCCCCTATTGCCTGGGGGCCCCATGAGTTATCAGTCCGCCCCTGTTCATAACATAAAAAACTCTAACATAAGTCCATATCCAAACAAAAAATAAGAGGAAATAAAAAAGAAACTTCCACCAAAAAAATAAAAATGCGAAAAGATCAATTCGTTTCACATTTTTATTTTTTTGGTGGAAGTTTCTTTTTTATTTCCTTTTATTTTTTGATTGGATATGGACTTACGCAGTGACTAGAAACGAAACAGTGACATCACTGAAACGAATTGAACTTTTCACATTTTTATTTTTTTTGTTGGAAGTTTTTCTTACTTCCTCCTATTTTTTGATTGGATATGGACTTATGTTAGTTTTATGTGTATTGTTCTAGTCACTGCATACTCATAGTGTGAATATGCATTAACATTTGTCATTATTATACAAAATGTACTACATATGAAATAGAAACATATTGCAATAAATATATTAACCCCTTGACGCCGACGTAACATAAATATGCGGCCTCACGGACCTGGGCTTTTTTCCGTGGGGCCGCATATTTGCGTACCTGTCTTTGTGCTGGAGAGCGCGCTGCTCGGCGCGCTCCCAGCACCAAGACCGCGGTGTCACTGAGAGCCCCGGGTCCCATTCTAACAATCGGGACCCGGGACTCCCGATTCCGGGTCACGTGATCGCTGTGATAGCCTCTGATTGGCTATCACAGTGATCAATCACTGTGCAGCCCGGCCCCCTTGTTTTCTCTCTCTCTATGAATGGAGAAGAGAGATACATTGTATCTCTCGAACTCCTGACATAGAGAGATAAAAAAAAAGTTTGTAAAAAAAAAAAAAAAAGATAAATAAATATTAAAAAATAAAAGAAAAAATAAAGAAAAATACCTAGATCAAGGTTTGATCTAGTTCAGTACCAGGGTTAGTGTTTGGGTCAAGGTCAGGGTCAAAGGTCAGGGTCAAGGGCAAAGGTCAGGGTCAAAGGTCAGGATTTAAAAAAAAAAATTGGTATCAGTGTCAGTTAGTGTTAATGTCAATGTCAGTAACAGTGTGTTTTATGTAAAAAAAAAATAAAAAAAAAAGACAAAAACAAAATGCGCACTGTTGTTTCTGGACTGTACTACGGGTACAAACAACAAATAACATACACATATATGGTATCGCTGCGATCGTCAAGAACTGGAGAATGTATTTTGAGTTGTTCTTTGGTGGTAGGTTATGGTCGTAACAAGAAACACACAGTTAAATTAAAAAAAAATGATTTTTTTTTTACTATTTTGGCCCAGTTTTCCTTTAATAATAAAAAAAAATTAGGAGCTATCCATTACCATTTACCACCAAATGAAAGCCCAATTTGTCCTGAAAAAAAACAAGGTATAATCCACCTGGATGTACAAAGTAGTTCTGACGATATGTACGGTTTTACTAACACGTCAACGTTGCAGAATTGTGCTTAGGCATTTAGATTTGTTTTACCCTTAGGCGTGAAGGGGTTAAGATATAAAAGTGAAATAGGATGATTCTTCCTTATAAAAATAAGAATCAATTCAGAGGAAACGAATATATGAAACAAATCCAAATATATGAAACAAATTTCAAAAACAAATCATTCTAACATAACGAATATGACAAAACAAAATGATTTACTTAATGTATGGATCCAAAAACTAAACCTATTTTTGATATACACATCTCTACTAAAAACAGGGGCTATATAAAAAAATGCACAAGCCTTATTTTCTGCAAAGATTTGCCAAAGGTCCTTATTGTAATATTCTTCTGATACCCTTTTATATGCAGAGATAATAACCCTACATCACCTGACCAGTGGCAGAAGAACTACAGCCGTTGTTCTGCCAATGAAATCTACCACATTCGACTGAGTGAGAGCAAATTCTTTGGAGAATACGAAGGGAAGAGTTTCACGTATGCCTCCTTCCACGCCCATAAAAAGTGAGTTCCAATATCCTACACCTCTGAACCCTAGAAACAACCAGAACCATTTTTGATTGAAAGTTCTAACATTTAAAGGGACCCTGTCATTAAAAAAACCACCTGTGTGAAGACTAAGGACATAGCCACTGGACTGCTTTGGGATGTTAAAGTGCTTACTATGCCTTCTGACCCTGTTTCTCATAATGAACTATTAAGAAAACGGGATTTTTTTGATTACCAATATTTATTTATTTTTTTACACATGGAGTTCATTAAGGGACACAGGTCCCATCCCATCTTATGATCGCTCCTACTACTGCTTTTGCATGAAAATGAAGCATGATGGGAGTGGGAGGGGCCATATATAACCAACTAACAGCTTTTTTGTTGCCTGTGTCCAATTTTCTTGTATGCAGTGGTAAAATCCGGTTGTCTCAGGATTTTACGGTAAGTTGAAAATCCTGTTATTTAAAAGGGGTATAGAGGGTTTTATTATGCAAATTGTTTTTAGGACAAATAATGTAAACATTTAAATATATTACATGCCTGTTCTGTCTCTCCAATCTAAGCATTGAAAATGTGATCTCTGTAACTTACAGTTGTGATGAGATAGCGATAACTCCAATCTCAGTTGGATACCACAGTCAGTGACTCAATCGAGATGATATCTTGTAGATCTTGTGAAGTTTATTCCATAAACTGAGTGAATCTTACAACAATGAACATCTGATAGGTCAAAAGATCATAATGTGCTCTGCTTCATGAGACATGAGACTTGCTGAAATGCATTACTGGGAAGGGGGTGGGCTATCTATACAGCATTAACTAAACCAAAAGAAAGGGAGGAGCAGAGACAAAATATAGAAAACACTTAAAGGCATATGACAGTCATGTGAAACATGACAATGCCTACATATTCATCCAGCAAGTGGTGCTTTAGGCTAATTTTTACCTGTCTATTCTTAGCTGAGCTGTGTTGAAACAAAGCCTCCCTGCATGTTCTTCTCAGATGGGTCTGCACAGATTATTAACAAGAGAAAGACAGGATGAAAGCAAACTGTTTATTTTTGTTCTCTCTTTCGAAAACCCATAACGAAGTGTGACACCGGAATCATTGAGGCTGGATTAAATGTTTATTGTTTTAAATTAAATTGGTAAATTCACCTGTTCACAAAAAATGAAAAGGTGAACTAACAGCCTACACCCTCCCCACCCGTGGTCCTCGCTGCGCTTACCTCAGTGGATGATTAGCTGTTACTGCCCATGCAGCTGGTCCAGGAATTTGAAACATTGCACTTCATCCCCTTCTTTCCTTAGGGCTTCAGGTTGGATCAGAGCAATTCTGATTGGTCACATGCTGGCATATGACCACTTTTACCAATGGGAATCGCTCTGATTCATCCCGGATTCCCTTCGTGGGGAGGGTATAGGGCAGTGATGGCGAACCTTTTTGAGCCCGAGTGCCCAAACTGCAACCCAAAACCTACTTATTTCTTTCAAAGTGCCAACACTGCAATGAAACCTGAATATCGAGCTTTTGGTTTAGAAAAAACAACTCGTACAGTAGTGCAAACTAATTAACAGTACAGGGATGACCAGAGACTGCGGACAGTACAGGGATGACCAGAGACTGCGGACACAGTACAGGGATGACCAGAGACTGCGGACACAGTACAGGGATGACCAGAGACTGCAGACACAGTACAGGGATGACCAGAGACTGCGGACACAGTACAGGGATGACCAGAGACTGCGGACACAGTACAGGGGATGACCAGAGACTGCAGACACAGTACAGGGATGACCAGAGACTGCGGACACAGTACAGGGATGACCAGAGACTGCGGACACAGTACAGGGATGACCAGAGACTGCGGACACAGTACAGGAGATGACCAGAGACTGCGGACAGTACAGGGATGACCAGAGACTGCGGACAGTACAGGAGATGACCAGAGACTGCGGAAAGCACAGGGATGACCAGAGACTGCGGACAGCACAGGGATGACCAGAGACTGCAGACAGTACAGGGATGACCAGAGACTGCGGACAGTACAGATGACTGCTGACCTTTGGGGAGGGAGGGGGAGCGGGTACCTGAATTTGACAGGTACCCGCTCTTACTTCCGCAGAGTTTTTTTTTTTATCTTACCTGTTCCTTTATCCAGCCGCGCGCTGTCTTCCCGGCTTCTGTAGTGTGGGCGCTCGTCGGACAGCCGGATGCCCAATGCGCATGCGCGAGAAGCGCTGCGCTTTGTGATTGGTCCGGCGGCTTCTGGGATCTGTCATGTGTCCCAGGTACCGCCTTACCATTCACAAAGAGCACTGCTTCTTGCGCATGCGCACTTGGGACCCGGCTGTCACGCACACTACAGAAGCCGGGAAGACAGCGCGCCGCTGGATAGAGGGACAGGTACGGTCCCACTGCAGAGCTGAGCGGCCGGCCCCGGTATTCTGACACGGCGGCGGTGGAAATACCGGACCGGCCGCTCTATATTCGCTCCATAAGACGCACTGACATTTTCCCCCCCTTTTTTGGGGGAAAAAAAGTGCGTCTTATGGAGCGAAAAATACGGTATTCGCCTGGCGTGCCCACAGATAAGGCTCGGCGTGCCGGCTGTGGCACGCGTGCCACGGGTTCGCCATCACTGGTATAGGGTGTTCACCTTTTCATTTTTTGTGAAAAGGTGAACTTACACTTTAAATTGTATTTTTTTTATCAGTAGTAAAAAAAGATGGTTTAAATTGTTACAAAAAATAACTAAGGGCTTACTTGTACCAGCCGGTGGATAATGGCGTTAAAAGGTGGTGCCCTGTGTTGTCACAACAAAAGGCACAATTCGCTTTGTTTTTACATTATTAAATTAAATGTCACAAATTGATATTTCATTCAACTCGGTAAGATGCACCAACATGAGTTGAGGTGCAGTGCAATCCGTAAAAATGCAGCATACTACATTTTTACGTAATGCACCTCAAACCACGTCACTGCAGAAAGTGTGCCCTTGCGGTGGGCCTATGCTGATCTGTACAGATTAACGAGCCCTAAAAATTGACCAGAAGCCATCTGGGTTTCCCTTTTAGGTAACAGAAAAGACAGATTGCAGTTACCCTTAGGCTGCTTTATTCATAGTGTCCTCTATAACTACAGCTCTACAGGTCCACAAATCTCCTCTAAGTCCTCATGTACACTTGACATTTTTACAGCGGCTGTTTTTGACATTTGACTTTTTTTCTACAGCCAGTAAACTCCCCAGCATGTTATCCTATGTGTCCATACACACATAGACTGTAATTAGTGTTTTTTGGCAGGGGCGTTTTTTGGCTGGAAAAAAAGAACAGAACTAGTGGGATTCTAGAGGAGTTTTTTAGCTGTAAAGATGCTCAAATGCTGAAAAACGTGGCAAAACGTGGTAAAAGGTGGTAAATCGCAGCAAACCAGAGTTTTTGGATGTTTTTGTACAAAATTGTTTTTATTTTTTTGGTAAAAAAAAACTATAGCAAACACGGCAAAAAGCCGCTAAACGTAATACCAAAATGTTTAAAAAACGCTGAAAAAACTCCCATTCTTAATGTGACTTTACACAGCTGACGTTACCACTGTAATTACGTCCCGTGTGCATGGAGCCTAATACAACAAGTGTATTGTACCTGTAGTAAAATGTTAGTTTCCTAATACAGGACTCAGGAAGGTGTTTTTTAGGTTGGAGAATTAGAAGACTGCAAATGATAAAGCAGTGTATAAATTGCAAACAACCAAAATTTGCCAGCACACTTACAAGCTAGCTTGCAAAAAAGCAAATTGTCCCTGTCTAACAATTCATGTTAAAAACAGAGGGTTTAAGCTGCACTCATTTGCAAATATATGTGTAAGCTGCAGTGCCTACGTCAAGGCTCCTCTGTACACTGCGGTCCTAACTCTACAGTTTTGAGAGTCTTCAAGTTGGAGCAAATATGACAGTGGATAGGTTAAAGTGGAGCTCCACCCAAAAGGGACTGCTCCCCATTAAGGATTGGCACTTTTGGGGAGCAGGGGGGGGAGCGGGTACCCAAATTTGACAGGTACCCGCTCCCACTTCCTGTCCGATTGCCTAGGCGATTGGAAGCAGAAGGTGTCCTCCCCCCCTCCCTCCCTATTGTCTTTTGGGACACATGACAGGTCCCAGAAGACTACAGGACCATTCACGAAGCGCAGCACTACTCGCACATGCGCAGTGGGTACCCGGCTGTAAAGCCGCAAGCTATCACAGATGGGTGCCCACACTGAAGATGCCAGCCTCCTGGAATACAGGATGGCTGGTGAAAAGAGCTGCGGGGGACACACTACGGGACCGTGGGACAGGTAAGTGGCTGTTTTTTAAAATCAGCAGCTACAGCAGATACAGTTATATTTTTTGATAGGTCGAGTGGAACTCCACTTTAAGGGCATGTTTGCCTGGAGGGAGCCTTACCCTTCTTAAAGGCACAGGAAAGCATGGTACACCCAGCACAATGGCAGCAGAAGGCAAACCTGCCGGTAATCTATCCACTGCTATAGGCGTTCGTTTGTGTTTGTGATGTGTGCATCCCTTCCATGTGCACCCTACTGCAAAGGCTAGGTAATGATTTGGATGGTTGCCACTTGCTTGTATAGCGGTAGGTCAGTTATGGTGAGCATGACTAGGCAGCAATAAAGAGATGCAAGGTATAGGCAGTTTTTTTTCTTACAGATTTAAAAGCATCATTCTATAAACTGTGTAAAACTGGTTGGTAAAAAAAAGTCCAAAAACGCTGGTTTTCCGTGATTTTCCACCTTTTACAGCGTTTTTCAGTGTTAGAGAATTTTTACAGTCTTATTAATGCAGTTTTATTAAGGCAGAATAGGCCTAACTGATGTATGCCTAACTTTTATTTTTACAAGGATAGGGGGACAATATGAGTTGGTTTAGGTGCGCAATTTTTTGCAATTTTTAAACAACTTTATTGGAATATAAAAAGGGAATATAAACTGGTGTGATTGTTCATGATCTTAGGATAGC